GTCACGTTCACCAGCACTCAACATGTTTAGTGATTAGTTAACAGCTTTGTTGAAAACAGATGAAAATCAGCTCTAGACCAATTAAAACTGTTCTACCTTGTGTATTCCACTTGTTGGAACAAAGCCGTTTACTAATCACTCAACATGTTGAGTTCTGGTGAACGCGACCATGGTTTGTGTTTGTGTCAAATGTTTGTGTGCCTCTTGTCGGCCATATTTGTGTCACGTGTTTTGGATAGTCTAATTGCTATTTTTCGCGTAATTTATCCATCTATTGGTAAAGGAATTTCGCCAATAGGGGATATGTTCTGTGTGTCAGTCAGTCATGCAGTGGCGTATCCAGCCTGAGGCTTTGGGTGGGGGGGGGGCAGACAAGATGCCCGCGGGAGGCGGAAATTTTTTGAGGTGCCACGCCCAAAAGTTGCTAAAATCACACATCTTGATGGCATATTCGCCCACTTCTAATACTTTTATAGGACAAAAAATATATTTTTACCGAAAATTAAGGTAGTGCCATGGTTCCGTATTATTAACCTGCGAGCCGCCACTGAAAAAATGTTTGAGCTGTTCATTGAAACGATAAGAGGTTGATAATTGAAATTATTTATTTTCCTGAGAAATCGACTTTCAAGAAACAAGGATCATAAAACACAAAACACATAACCAAACTAAAGTTAAATTCAAAGGTGTGTAATACATACCTACCTACATAAAAATAGTTATTTTCCTAACAAGTGCGCAAAATGATACTTTCTCGCACGGAAAAGCAGTTAGACGAACGACGTACGCAAAGCGGAGTTCGGATAAAGCGGTAAAGACACTTTGCGCATCAAGTGTTGGGGGCAATACCTTTTCTACGAGTGTTTGAAGATTTCGCATAGCATCCAGAGGATCTGTACCTTATCTTCTTTAATGTTTCTAGATGCTCAAAATTGGTAATTTCCTCTCTTAGTTCAATGTGTTGTGTTTTTAATGGGCCACTTTCACGTGCCGGGAATATGGCAAATTATGATATTTTTTGACGCAGATACATCAATGCAACCGAGAATGAACAATATTTTGTGAAATTTTAGTCAGATTATTGAATAAATTAATAAATAAAAACTAAAAATTTGAACGAAAAATCACGTGATTGAAAAAGCTCTCTGATTGGCTAAAGCCGATTTTGACGTTTTTGTTGCCACATGTAGAAATCACTGACTTCGGAATGCGAAATTTAAATAAGTTAATAGGGACATAAAGCTACTTGAAATAATTCGCCGGTATCGGTATCAGTATCCGTAACGCAACTAGATACGTTGACAAGCGAAAAGGCTGTTAAAGTGCTCCTTGTTCCGGTAAACGTAAACGCATCTCATAACCTAGAAATTTTTGTGTCAAAACTCCGGCGTTTTTACATTTAACCTTAAATAAATTGTTGTTTTTTTCATCCCTTTTTTGTTGGTGAGTCTAATAATTTGGTTTCTGTAGGTACCGTCTTTTCTGGTGACGACCCACTACCCACTTAACGAGTCACTTTACCTCATATCATACAACGGTAAGTACCTATACTTTAAGGCAGGGTTATTTTTTGGGGACGTTGGAGTTTTGTGTTTTATATTGGCAGGGTAGTTCATAATGCACAATGGTGAATTTAATGCTTATTTCAACCTTTGCATGTGCAGGAGATTAGAAATACTGGCATTGCTTGGAACTAACCCACAAAACACAAAAATCCACAACTAACAATTACAATACTCAGTCACCCCAACAAGTTCAGTTCTTAGATTTTTTTTAGACTAGGAACACGGAAGCTATCCTGGATCCTCTTTTATTAGATAACGAGGACCCTAATGATGATGATATTGATGACCTCCTGATAATGCATATCTTGCATGATCAGATACTTCTTGGAAATCGAGCTAACATTTTTGGGGCATTTGATTTGGCTCTTTATAACAATACCATCTGTCTACAAATGTTCAGATTTAGGTACTCAGGAGGAGGTACGGAGACTGACTGTTGCTTTGAGGATTCCAGATCCCATCATAGTGAACAGGGTAACCATAACAGGTATGTACCTATATCCTTATTTGCGCAGAAGTTTATCTTCACAGATATCTATAGGGAGGAATTTTGTGATGTGACTTTATTACTTTTTAGCAGTCACGGGTCTGTGCATGGTTCTGAGAAGGCTGACATATCCCAATCGGCTTGTAGACCTGGAGCCAGTGTTTGGATATTCAAACACAGTAATTAGTGGATTTACCAAATTTTTGGTCCAAAACATTGAAGGTCAATGGGGTGCTAAATTGAATAATTTAAGAGACAACCATTTTTTCAATCAACACAATTTGAGACAATATTCACAAGTAAGTAAATTTCCTAATTATAACATGTTTGCTGTGACACTTACAACTTCATTTATTTTGTAATAACATTTATTCATGGAATAAGAGAAAGCTTAAGTTCTTCTTTCAGTCTATAATACAAGTATCGATAACATTTGAAAAAATGCTGTGCCTTAGGAATAATCTTTTTTTTTATTATTCTTTAGTACCATAGACCAAGAAAGATTTCATTCGATTTTAATAATTTTAACACAATAAAAAAATCACTTTTGCTTTAGTGGGACGTATAGAAATGTTATAGATGAACTTGAATAGATCTCTATTTCTAAAAAATTTCAATCTTAAATCTCAATAAATTAATACAATGGGTCCAAAACTTTTTCATGGGCTGTTTTCTGACTGACACTCTTTGAACTTTTTTCTCTCTGCTTAAAACAAAATGAACTGCAAGTTTCCTATTAATCCTCAAATATTTTTTTTTTCAAAGGCAATTTTCCACAAAGGCTGCCCTCTCCATAATTGCTGGGAATTCATAGATGGTACTTGTAGGGCTATTTGTCGTCCAACAGAAAACCAGGAAGAATATTATTCAGGACATAAGAAAATGCATTGCTTGAAATATCAGAGCGTTCTGTGCCCTGATGGAATCATTATCAGCCTAAAAGGAGCCTATGCGGGACGACGACATGATGCTGGGATTCTCAGGTAATCAGGGTTCCTGGAAGAACTCCAGAACCATGTTGTTTTTCCGGATGAAGAGTTTGTACTATATGGAGATGAGAGATATGCTCTTCATGCACTGTTAGTACGTCCCTTCACAATAAATCAAATTATTCAGAATCCAGAAAGGCAAATGTTCAACAATATTATGAGATCCGTAAGAGTCTCAGTGGAATGGGGCTTTGGAAAAATTATTCAATTATTCGCCTTTCTGGATTTCAAAAAAAATCAAAAAATTTTGTGGCAAGATGTTAGTCAGATGTACAGAGTGGGGACTATTTTAACAAATTGCCACACTTGCTTGAATGGAGGAAATGTATCTCAGTATTTTGCCTCTATTCCCCCTCAGTTGGAGGAATATTTGCAGTAGCTCAATTTTATTCTACATAATAGGTAAGGTGTATTGTGAATGATGATATGTTTAAATAAAAAACCAATACCATTTTTGAAAATATTTACTTTATCTTTTTTTCCGTATTTCTTCTTAGCAAACTAACAGGTAACATCACTTTTCAATAAATTTTGGACTGAAACGAAACTTCATAATAGAATCGACGGATCCAAATTTATACCAAAAAACTCCCTCCAGTGTGGTGGATGTTTCAGTTTCAAACTACCTCAGCAAAATTCTAGGAAATGTCGTTGTGAAATTATCTCTCCTCCAAATCTAGCTCTCTTCTTCTTGTTTCAAACCACCTGTCATTTTTAGTTTCCAAAAATTTCATTGAAGTTTGCTTTATTCCGGTTTGTTTTAGTCTGGATGGAGCTGTTTGGAAAGAATAAAAATTATTAGGTGTTGTAATTTTACCACTAGCTGATGTCCTGAGACAGCTACGTAGTTCACTATTGTTTACCAAATTTTGTATCTGAATATGCTTACTTGAAACCCCGCTTCTTCCTCCATTCGCGACTCTTCTACCATTCCCACGACCAATGTCTATACTTATACGAGGAGTTTCTGGTTCAATTCGTCTTACAAAATTATTTTCTTTATTAACACTTCTGCATCTCGGTCTGCATATCCTGCTCGTCTTCAACAATTACTTGAATATACTCTAAAAATATAATTTTTCACAAAAATTTCTTACCAGAATCAAAAATGAGAAAAAGGTAGTATGTAGTTTGATAATTACTTGAGGCCAAATAGTATAGGTTGAGATAGTATTCGGAGCCGCTTTTTTAGCAGCGGCATGCAGAGCCAAAACCTGGGGCCCCACGCTTCTGATTTAGATGGCCAGAGTTTTATCTATTTTCTTTGTTTTTTAATTAGCACTGATTACAATATTTTTCTAGAAATGTAGATACTTATTTGGAAAAAAAAAACACTCAAACAACAATTTATTTGAAAAATATGCCTGAAATAATACCCGTTTATTGGGTATTTTTTCCAGAAATGATGTCCTCCTATGTACTCATGGCTATCTATGTAATATATTGTCACAACTACCCGCTTTACGGGGGTGACATGGGGGGTTTGTAGCTTTGGGGGTAGATGAAGAGAAACTCGCTCAGGTTATATAAAAATATATGCTATATATTTTCCCAAATATAACCTTACATGTATGCTAATCCTATAAGGTACATGACCCTTCGTACACTGGGGTCCTTATAGGGGGCCACACGTCAATTCTGCTTGGGGGACTGTAGATAAGTTTATCGTCACCCTTATGCCTTGTCCAGAGGGGCGTTCCCAACGAGAGGTAATTGCACTGGACAACGATAAGGCTGAAGATACCCAGAGGGGCGTTCCCAACGAGAGGTACTTGCACTGGGGAGACTTAATTCCAGAGGGGCTTTTCCAACGAGAGGTACTTGCACTGGTTTAAGTCTACCTTTGCTGCGGCTTGCAGCGCAATTTATATTAATTTATTGCTGAATTGCAATAAATATTCGATCGAATCGGCAATTAAATTAATAAGGTTGAATACCGGGTCCTCCTTTCCTAAGCAGCTAGTTGACAATATTTTTGAGTTTCTGTTCTAACTTATTTTTCAAATCACCTTCATCCTCCTCTGGTGGCTCTAATGGGTTTAGTTCAACTCCAAATAATGGTCCAATTTGGTTTCCTACCTTAGTTATATTTTCCATAGCCTGTTCTCTCTTTTCAAGACCTCTTTGATAAGATGAGGACTTCGTTTTTTTCTGATTTAAAACCTCATCAATCAATAGAATAATTTGATGAAGAAGATCATCCATTTCTGTCACTCCTTCTTCAATTCCAGATCTGAAAAGAAATTTGACTACAACGAGGCACTTATATAGAGATTCACCAGTGGGGCCAACGTTTATCGATAGAAAAACTATTTTCTAGTAAAACCAAAAGCTTTCGCAATTATTTTTTGTTGCTAAAGGTCTAGCTAAAGGTGAACTAGAGTAAACTGAACTACTCGCCTTCAGAATTTGCTTTAGGTACACATCCAACTTACTTATATTTATCATGTTCAACCTTTTGCCTGAATTTGTCCACAAGAAGCTGGATTCTCTCTTTTAGACTTCTCACACCAAACTTCTTGCCTGTGAGCTCTTGAATATTTTTTTGGATATCATTCCATCTGTTGGGCGTCATATATGGATTTTGCCCAAGCACTTTGTCATGAGTGTTCAGTTTGTTTTGTTAGAAATACGTATTGTTTTATTTGATGTGAATCGACCTTAATGGAATGACATGCGTCATGGGTGACGGATAGGAGAAATGGGGTTGGATTAGGAGGTTATTCATAAGAAAATGTACAATGTGGCAACGGTAGAACAAAAACCCAATAAATGTTTATTTAGTAAATTATTACTAGTGTTTTCTTGCATAAAGACTCAAGCATAACATGACACACTTCCTGCAATAAATGCAAATCGTCGTCTCCATTGTAGTACAACCTCTTTCTTTTCAGCGTTGCTGGTAGTGCTGGCATTGACGAATGCATCCTTTCCTTACTCTTATAACTTTTTTTGCGATAGAGAAGCACAAGAAACTCGAGAAAATATAAACTAAACAAATTCAAAATTTGACACGTGTCAGGATTGGCAAGATACGTTACCGATATGGATACCGCGAGAAGGCCGTAACGTTACGTTCTACGTACGGTATCTCGACCTCCGTAACGCTTCTGCACATGCGCAGTACGATACCATTACGGAAGCTTTAGGCCTATTCGGGTTTGGAAAAAGGACGGTTCTAGAACGGTTCAAAACAATCGTCCAGTTTATTGATCAACAAAATAACAACGACTCGACTATCACAAATTTCAATAATAAACTGTGCGATTCTCCTGAACCGTTCTAGAACCGTACTTTTTCCAAACCCGAATAGGCCTTTTATGTCCCTATTAAAAAATATATTGACAAATGTGTCAAATTTGATTGGCTAGATAGGCCAGAGAATTTTAATACTGCGACACTTACGAAATTATGTGAAACACACTTAAAACTGTCTGGAATTTGACATATACTGTCATTATTATACGAGGATCAACCTGCCAAATTTTCATGGATAATGCTACGCCAATAATATGTGAAAGGCAAATATAATCATTATTCTGAGTAATTTTTGTTTTTAGGTACTGCCGAACGAAATCTCCATCGTAAAGCAGCAAATCATTGGCCAGTGGGAAAATAGGCCTCACCAACTTCTAAAAGTCTTACACAATAGGCGCCTTGCGTCAAATTTTTTTATTGCTGATTTCGATAGTCCATGAAAAATAAGTAAACACGTATTTTTTCTTTTTCTTGTTAGTCAAAAATTGACGGAGATACAACGCTTTGAAATGTCCCTCTGACGTCATAACTTATAATACGTGGTGATGTCGCACATGCTCAGTATATCTATATATACAAAACTCAATATTTGTATAACTTCCGAAATAATCATATTTGGACGAAATAAAAAAACACGCATCGATTTTTTTCGATTTCCTACAGTTTCCAATAAACAATAATCAATTTAATTTTCCATGCAAGTACCCTATTTCAGATGTTGTAAAAGATCCAAGATCCAGTAAAACAAATACAAAGCCAGTACTTGACAGAGCATGCAGAGAAATTATACCTAAATGGAATGCTCTACTGCATTGATGGATATTATTATTGCACTAAAGAACACAAAGGAAAAAACTCTAATTTTAGCACTTTTCACCTTTTTGTCCTTTTTTAATAAATATTTATAATTATCATCCAAGCTTTAATTTTTTCATAGAAATTTTGTCCTATAAAACACGATCCAATTTTTTTACGTATACCTACGTAAAATAGTGTTTTTTTGAATAGAAACTAATGGTTGTAAATTTGCTTTGTTTCTATTGTTTTTGTTTTATAAAATCGACAATAAAAAACAAAACAAATACACACTAGTTGTATTCCTTTCACACCTAGGAGGAGCTCCGGAACAGCTCCGGGGCTTCACGCGCTTATGACTTTCAAAAAGTTTTTGTTGCAACACGCATCTGTTCCCTGCAAATCGGGGGCGACTGAACTCCGGAGCGAGTAGCTCGAGTGTTTCAAACTCTTGAAAGGAATACAACATTGAATACAACTAATAAGAAAGAGGTTATGTTGTGCATAGGTCTTTCGGAACCGCTGGACACGGAGCTGTGATCCGACGGAACAGCGTTTCCGAAAGCGCCTAATGATGACATCACGAATTTTTAAACGATTTTAAATGATTTTAAATTCTTTATTGGTGTTTTTACACAGTGTGCTTACACAAGTCAATAATAATATAAGGCTCACAGCAAAATAATGTGCTATGGTACTATTCATTACAATCAATAAAATAACCAGATGATACAAATATAGATATAGACACAGATACAAATTCAAATATGAAACACAAAGATCAAGTAAATTTGAACATAAAATACAAATAAGTAGTTTGAAATCATTAGGACAATACTCAACTTGCCGAAATAAAAAAACAAAAAAATATACAGATGTTTAACAACTACAACACTTTAAAATATGTAACCTACTGAAATAAAGAAACAAAAAATATACAGATATTTACGAAGGCACTTTAAAATTGGGTAATATCACAGTCCAAACTTAAGAAATCAGAAATATCAAAAAATGCTTGACTGATGAGGAAATCTTTGATCTTTTTTTTAAATACTTTTATTGGTAAACTCTTTATAGCACTAGGTAGTTTATTGAAAAAGTGAGTGCCGAGACTGCTCGGCCCATCTCGACACCTCTGTAGCCGCCTATAGGAGGGCACCAAGTTATTTCTGCCACGCGTATCATACGTGTGCAGGTCCTCATGCCTTTGGTACTGGTCAGGGTGGGTTTTAATATACAGGAGATTCTCTAGGATGAAGAGCGAGGGCAATGTTAAAAAGCCAAGAGACCTGAAGGCATGACGGCAATCTGCTCGATAAGACAGACCAGCAACCACCCTCACCGCTCTCCTCTGCAATCGAAAGACATCCTTCGCCCCTGCGCTGTGGCCCCAAGCTAGAATCGCGTAGTTTATATGGGCTTGGCATAGTGCGAAGTAGGCATGCCTTAGAGTGGGCCGTGAGACACACTCAGAGAGTCTGCGCAGCAGGAACACATTGGGGGCTAATCGGCTCATTAAGGAGTTTGTGTGAGGACTCCAGTGCAATCTAGGGTCCAGAAATACTCCCAGGAATTTTACACTCTCACCCTCATCACCCTCAGGAAGCTGTCTCGTTGAGAAAACCGTCCTCTGTGTCTTGTCTACATTCAGGAAAAGGCCATTCGCTGCGAACCAGCTCTCAGCCCTCGATTGTGCCTCCCCCAGAGCCTCCACAGCCTCTGTTAGTTCTTGTTTATTGCAACATATTGTGGTATCGTCCGCAAAGAGGGTGTACGCACTTTCAGGGTCTACATTTGGTAGGTCGTTTATGTAAATTATAAATAAAAGGGGCCCAAGAATGGATCCTTGTGGTACTCCTATTGTCACCCTCCCTTCTGCGGACTCTACCCCACCTATTGTTACTCTTTGTGTTCTGTTCGATAAGTAGTTGCACACCATTGAAACGCTATCATCGCTGAAGTTGTATTTTTTTAGTTTTTCAATAAGTATCTTGTGGGAGACACAATCGAAGGCCTTGCTTAGGTCGCAAAAAGCACTGGATAGGTACTTGCGGGTCTCAAAAGCATCCTGTATTTGCGTGACAAGGTTCAAAACGCCCATGGTGGTGCTGCGCTCTTTCCTGAAGCCGAATTGATTTTCTTTCAGTAAGTTATTTGACTCAAAAAAACTCGATATTCTATAGGCCAAACATTTTTCAAAATTTTTTGACAGAATGGGCAGTATTGATATTGGTCTATAGTTTGAGGGATCATTAATGTCACCCTTTTTATAGACTGGGGTCACTCTTGCCTGTTTAAGAATGTCAGGAAAGATGTTCTCCCCAAGACATTGGTTTATAACCTTGGTCAAGGGGCAACACAGGAGATTTTTTATTATCTTGAAAATTTCAACCGTGAAACCAAATGGGTCCCTACCTCTCTTATTTCTGAGACCAGTTATAGTATCACGGACCTCAACTATAGTGACGTTCCCAAAAGTAAACATTTCCCGAGGAATGGTGTGTATATACTGTAAAGGGTCAAGAATGGAAGGACCAATTCGGTTCTGCAGATCAATAGCAACATTTGTGAAAAAATCGTTGAATTGATCTGGCGTTACATCAGAAACATCAGTTCTCCTCACCAAAGAGCCTCTGTGTTCGTTTATAATATTCCACATGCATTTTGTGGGATTAGCAGCAGTTCTTATAAGGTTATCATTTGCAGACTGCTTTGCATTTCTTATGGCAGATTTATATATTTTTTTATAGTTTTTCATTTCATTTTTTATTTCTTCGGTTGGGGTTTGATTATATATTTCTTCTAATGATCTCAAAACTTCTCTCATTGACTTTAGATCGTCATTAAACCAGTTAATGGTTCGGTTTTGATCATTTCGCTTATTATAAGTTTTTTCAGGAAAAGCTGACAGGAAAGCCTGTGAAAGAGTTTCGTGAACCAATGAAAATTTTTTGCTGGCAGACATGCCAATATCATCAAGAAAATCCCACTTTATCCCCTCTACATATGTGAAAAACAATGCCTTACCCGCCCTCGTTAGTGGTCTACATGTGGTTTTTGTTATATTAGGGTCTCTAATCGATGTGGGCAATGGAAAAACAATGAGCTGGCCAAGGTGGTCGGATAAAGCCGTGTCAACAAGGGTCACACAGCACTCATGAGAATCTAGACTCGAAAATACATTGTCCAGGCAACTACCAAGCCTAGTGGGTTCACTCACCAATTGGACAAGCCCAAACGTCCGAAGCAAGCCACACAGGCCAATGCACTCTCGGGTCCCAGCACCAAAATGCACATTAAAGTCGCCAGCAAACATGATGTTATCACTGTTCCCAATCAAACTTAGCGCCCTCTCAACAGCTTCCAGAAAGACCTCAAACGAGCCAGATGGTGACCTGTAAATTGAAATTATATGCAGCTTAAATTTGTTCAAATAAACACAACAGATTTCTATAGATTTCTCAACAGTCAGAGCATTTACTTGAGTAACTACTTTGAAGTCATAACTAGAGTCCAGCAGGA